AATAATAATTGAGCTAAATGATATTTCAAACTCCCAGCCAGTCCTATGTTTCTACAAAAACAAAGTCAGATTGTCCAAAGAAAAATTTCACATTCCAAAGGCATTAGTGCTTGAAGCTTCTCCACACAGCAAGCCTACTAACCATGATGGGCTTCAGGATGTCCATGTTGGAACGAAGTACTTGCTCTGCTGCATCCAATTTCTCCCTTGGCAATCTGCAAAGCTTGAAAACTTCTTGGTCACTAAGCTGAATCGTCTCTTCTAGTTTTGATGCACTACACAGATTGGTCAAATGTAACTGGTAGCCTTGTAAAAATATCTGGAAGCATTTCATGCAAAGAGAGACAAGTAAAACTAGATTACAAAGATGGGAAGCTGGATCCTTGAAGCCTTTTGGGGGATTTCACATCAATACAGGTTTGAAGAATGAACACCACTGCAACAGTCCATTGCATTGGGTCTCTTTCCTCAACTTTGGAATATACTGAGCCACAATCTGACTAGGTATTTAAAACCTGATTGTTGTGTCTGATTCATTAGCTCCAACATTCTTGTGCTTATATAAAGGGAAATCCTGAGTCTGTCTCTTCTTCTCAAAAGTGGGACAAATGATTCAGTGAATAGGAATCTAGAGTCTGAACTACTGAAACCACTTTTATTAGAGAAAAACATTCTTACTATGTTGAAAACTTATATCTTATACTGGAGTTGGGCTGAATGCTTTTTAAAAGCATTTATACTATGTATTTGTAGTAGAGATATTTAACTGAAGCAAAGAACTATGTTTAAGTAATTGCAGAATTTAGACTCTTCATTTTACTTGACCCAGAAGAGAGTACCAGAACTCCAAGCCTCTTCTCATCTCATTGGTAAGGCATTTCTAAGTCACTCTTATCTATTCATTACAGTGCATGGCACAGCTCAGGTCTCAATAAATACTTGCTGAATGAATGAATTTAAGTGTTTGTTTATAGATGATCACTATAGAAGACTAGGAGAGAATATTACTAATGCATTAGAAGTCACAGCCTAATATGAGACAGAACCTCTGAGAAGTTAAAATTTAATTGAAAACTCTTTTCAATTTACAAAAATTGTGTCCATACCCCAATTTTTTAGGAACTCTACTACTAACACCAAATAATGTGAGATGTGGGTATATTTATTTGAATAGTATTTTCAGTGTAATGCACAATTTTGTTTTCCTGTGAATGCATGCTATAATGTATTCACTGGAACATTTCAAACTTTCCTTAAATACTCTCATAAAGTAAACTAAAAAGTCTACTTCACTTTGCCCACACTCAAAAAATCCAACTGAGGGCTAGGATTTATATGTTTTAGTTCAAATTGAAAATAAGCCATACACGAGGTACAAAGACTCTCCTCTTTCCAATATTTAGATGACAATAAAGTTTTCCTTTGAGAAACATTTATTATTTCTTCTTGAAGTAAAGAACTATAAAACACATCTGAGAAAGGTACTAATCTTTTAAAAAAATTCAACAATTTAAATAATAGCTTTTCAATTTGAAGTGTTTAATGCATAAAAATATTTTGCTGGGTTTTTTTTTTCATTTTTTGCTGTTTCTACACACTACTAAATATACCTATTACCACATAATTCAGGACAGCGTCCTCTCCAAAAAAAATTAAACCTTCATCTAAGAAATCAAAGAATTTCAGGAAGAAATGTGAGGCAAAAATGTCTGTAAATATGTAGTAGTAGTTAACACACTGCTATATTAACCAATTTATCCCAGCTCTGTGCTCCCCTTTTCCCATAATAATTAGGTGAACATGCATGAGGTATGTCACTCTACCATCAGCCAAATGATGAAGATTGCAACTGCTTGCCAGGCAAAAGCATATGTTGTAAACAGGTGGACAGTACAATCAAATAAAGCCAAACAAAATCTGATACTTTCCACAAATGCCTAAATTTCAGGCAGGAAGAGAGGAAAATCAAGTGTTTTCTCCTGCAAAAAAACCCACACATATGCTTTAAGTACTGCTTGTGACAAGTTCAAGTATCTATCCCCCCAGAAGCCACAAGCTAAGTCCCATCTGTAATCTAAGGATCCTTGTCTAAGAGTCAAGAAGATGCTGAACAAAGACCCTTCAAGTTGAGGGTAACTTTACTCACCCCTTCCTCATCTGTTCCTCCTATCTATACACAGACCAGTGAGATCACTGGTCTTCTGGGGACCTCAGGGCACCACTCATTTCACCTCTTTTGTCCCATGAACCAAGTCCCACCCTTTCAAGAATATGCTGCATGCATCAGAAGGTATGTGAACAGAGCTCTTTGTTTCAAAGAAACAACTTTCCCTTTCAGAGTAAAGGTACCATCAGAAGTCAAGACAATCTAATAACCACATGGTTGTGCAATATCCAAGTTGTTACTGAGACGGAAATAAATCTGTATGCCTGTCCTTCTTAACTCAAGAATTAAACACTTCTCACATCACTGAATCAATGGTGAGTCAGGATTATAGCCCAAGTCTACCAAACTCCACTACTTCTTTCCACTATGGCTCACAGTGTCCCATGTGGGCAAAGATTGCTGTCAAGGAGTTGTTAGATCATCGGTAAAACTGGTTTGAAAAGATAGCCCTCACTCTACAAACCCAGAACCTGTGAAGAATTCCTTATATTCCTAATCTCAGCCTTAAAGTTGGTTCTCAGTGACCACTAGAATGAGAGCTCCATGTGTACTTTGCTTGCCCTGTTCATGGTTAAAGGTTCAGTGGCTTAGAACACTGCCTGGTACAAAGCAGAAATACAGTAAACCTTTGTTGGTTTTATTGATGAATGTCTCATGGCTTGTTCAGAGATGCATTTGCTTCTCCAAAGTAATTGCTCTCTTTAGTTTGTGCATTAAAAGCCCTAATGGATGGTCTTTATGATTCTTTAAAGTCACTCTCAGAATATGGGCAAGAAAGTACACAGGACTGAAGAGGGACTAATAAAAAAGCCAAGGCACTGAGAAATCACTTCAAAGACATAATGAAATATACTTCCCAATTAAAAAGCATTTGTGGCAGGATGACTGTGTTCCCCAAAGCTGTCCACACTCCTAATCTCTAAAACATGAGTGTGCTGTATCACGTGAAAATGTACTTTACAGATGTAATAAAAGTTATGGACCTTAAAAAAAAAACAGGGAAATTACCCTGGATTAGATGAGTCCAATCTAGCCTGTAAAAGCAGAGAATATTTCTGACTGGAGACAGAGATGTAGCAGAAGGAGAAGTCAGAAATTTAAAGCATGAGAGGGACTCTCAGCCCACTGTGGCTGGAGAGGGGAAATATGAAAAGCATGAGAAGGAATGCCTGCCCGCAGCCTCTAGGAGCAAACACCAGCCTCTAGCTGACATCCAGGAAGGAAACAGGGACTTCAGTCCTACAACTGCTAGGAACTTAATTCATTTTAACTGGGTTGTGCACATTGTAACTGTTTAATGAGCAAACAAATGAAACAATGAATGAGCACCAGAATAAATTATATGTCTTCTAAAAACATCCATCTTGCCAAAATTCAAATCACTCTGGCTAAAAGGGTAAACATTTCTGTTCTATAAGAAGTATAGCAAAACAGCCAAAACAGCCCAAGAAAATGGTCTACCATTTGTAATAACCTTCGACTCTATGCAAAAAGTGTCAACAGGCTGCCAATGCCTGCACAAACAAGCTTAAGTGGACATTTAGAACAGTTACCTGGGGCTCCAAACATCCCCATGCAAAAATATATCTTATTTGAAATTATAGTATAGAAATACTAACCAAAAGAATCACAGACCATTGAACAAAACAACTCAGCTTTGTTGTTGTTTTTTTTCAAACTGAAACAGAAAATACTATTTCCAGAATAAAGCAAAAAGAGATATTAAGCCTGAGGCCCAAGTCCTTCACACTGACCGGCTCATCATTGACCCTGCCAACAGAAACACCCAGGAGCTCACAGTTTTCCTATTGCCTTTGACTCCTGCAGAAGCTGCATCATAACCAAACCAAGCAGGTTTCAGTTTAGGGTGTCAACTCGAGGATGTGTTCCTAAAGTTATGTTCTAGGGTGTGATCCAGGCACAGGCTCCGGAAACTGAACATTCTTAGTAGCCCTGCAAGGACTCACCTCTTTATAAAGAAATCATGCTGCACAAAGTCACAGAGGATTCCAAGTTCTTTTTATTATAATGAGGAACATCTCTTTCCAGGCATATCCTTCCAAGGCTCTTTTCCTACTTTTAAGAGAATCTACTGACAAACCAGAGTGCTCTCTGGTGTGTAAGAAGCCAGAACACTAATTCTAGATGCTAACTGATGGTACTGGAGAAGCGTTTTGAAGGACCTCTCAGAAAACCCAAAGAAATATGCCTGTTACAGAACTGTATACACAGCACTCTGATGGCCAGAATGTTCAGGTTCAACCATATTCTTTTAGAATGAACATTTACTCTCATGCACTGATTTTCTGCACTATTGATTCTTTGGTTAATCAGACTTTGCTGGCAATTTTTTTTCTGTGAATGCAATTTATTCAGATTAAGCTAATTTACCCACCCATCCAATTCCAAGGTTTTCCCACTGTGACAGTTCATAGTGTCTCCTTTCTGATGTGCTTCTAAAAATGACTAGATATACATCTTCCTATCAAAGGTTTTAGGCTTTTTTTAAATCTGAGAACTCTTTCTTCAAATGAATTTTATAATCTCGAATATTAAAAAAACATTTTAAAAAAAAGATCTCTTACTGAAACAGGCACAAGGAAACTCAGGCTTGGACTTAGAGGCACATTCAACTCATTCTTCCCCATTTACCCTTTGGTAGATAGCTCAAAAGTTTAAAAGAACAGTAAGAATAATAATTGAGCTAAATGATATTTCAAACTCCCAGCCAGTCCTATGTTTCTACAAAAACAAAGTCAGATTGTCCAAAGAAAAATTTCACATTCCAAAGGCATTAGTGCTTGAAGCTTCTCCACACAGCAAGCCTACTAACCATGATGGGCTTCAGGATGTCCATGTTGGAACGAAGTACTTGCTCTGCTGCATCCAATTTCTCCCTTGGCAAGCTGCAAAGCTTGAAAACTTCTTGGTCACTAAGCTGAATCGTCTCTTCTAGTTTTGATGCACTACACAGATTGGTCAAATGTAACTGGTAGCCTTGTAAAAATATCTGGAAGCATTTCATGCAAAGAGAGACAAGTAAAACTAGATTACAAAGATGGGAAGCTGGATCCTTGAAGCCTTTTGGGGGATTTCACATCAATACAGGTTTGAAGAATGAACACCACTGCAACAGTCCATTGCATTGGGTCTCTTTCCTCAACTTTGGAATATACTGAGCCACAATCTGACTAGGTATTTAAAACCTGATTGTTGTGTCTGATTCATTAGCTCCAACATTCTTGTGCTTATATAAAGGGAAATCCTGAGTCTGTCTCTTCTTCTCAAAAGTGGGACAAATGATTCAGTGAATAGGAATCTAGAGTCTGAACTACTGAAACCACTTTTATTAGAGAAAAACATTCTTACTATGTTGAAAACTTATATCTTATACTGGAGTTGGGCTGAATGCTTTTTAAAAGCATTTATACTATGTATTTGTAGTAGAGATATTTAACTGAAGCAAAGAACTATGTTTAAGTAATTGCAGAATTTAGACTCTTCATTTTACTTGACCCAGAAGAGAGTACCAGAACTCCAAGCCTCTTCTCATCTCATTGGTAAGGCATTTCTAAGTCACTCTTATCTATTCATTACAGCATACCCAGTAGAAAGCCTCTCCTTGGCCATATTTTGTTTAGTTAATTAGCTTTTCCAGGCCTAAATAAACTGTGCCTCTTCATATATGGTCCTTAGTGTCTACAGACAGCAAGTTCATTAAGATGAAAGGCCTTCCTTTTCTTGCTCATTTTGTGTCCACAGTGCTGGAACATTAGAGACAGCAATTATTTGTGGAATTAATAAATGGATGATCTACTTTTTACTACTCCGTTACTACCTGCCCTAGCAGTTTAAATTAGTGTAGCCTGACCTGCTTATATACAATCTAACAGGAATGATGGACCAAGATCTCTCAATACCTGTGCAGCTTTCTAACACTGAGGAGCATTTGGCCCGCCACTGTTTCCATTAAGTTTTCACATACTGCCAGATACTAAAGCCCACTTCAGTTTCACTCCTTTCTGTATCCATGCTGCCAGGCTGCCAGCCTACTTTGTGTTTAAAACTACACACAAACTCTCTCTACCATGCAAGGACTACCTCCTTACTTAGGATGCCCCTTATTTTAAATTGACTGGATATGACAGATATGAAACTGGCGGGGGGCAACAGAAATTGTGCTAAATACAACTATCTTCATAAGTCTGCTGCGTTTGGCCCATCTCCTAACCACATAATTAGTAAACACAAGACATATTCCCCTAGTTTAATAAGGGCAAGCAATAAGCACATTTTTCTAATTCTAAAAATTCTAGCAATATAACACAGAGAAAACAAGTAGTGATTCTATGGCATCTTATTATGCTGATGGACAGTGACTGTAATGGGGTATGTGGGGGGGGTTTGATAATGGGGGGAATCTAGTAAACACAATGTTGCTCATGTAATTGTATATTAATGACACCAAAAAGAAAAAAAGTAAAATAAATAAATAAATAAAAATTCTAGATACGGTAAAGCAAAGATCTTATTTTTAGGCATAAACATGTCTACTACTTCTGCTTACTGTAAAGACAAGCCAGTAAGCAGACATGAGCCAGGGTAAAGAAGCAGTTCTCCTTTCTACCAGAGAATAAATGTGAGAAACTTCTCTAAAAATCAATAAGCAAGCAACCTGGGTCTGCTAACCACTGCACAGGAGCTCTATGATATCTAATAATGCCAGAGGAATATTCGAAGAATCTAAGGTTAAAATTCTATGTAAACCCTAATATTATCTCCTGGTTTTATATATTAAGAAAAAACAAATATTTTCTCCTTATATGTTTTTTGTATCTATCTTTAAAGGAAGCATTAAATAAATCCCCTGTCTTAGATTTTATAGACAGAGCTGCTCCACATTAATAATCCTCAACCCTGGTTATTTTCTCAGAACTGTAGAATTGTAGAGAAAATGTTTAATTTCTCTTAACTTAAATTCATCCCCCTTATAGGGAGACGTTATGAACAAATTCCAGTTGATAGACAGGAAATAAGTTTTATTTCAACCAGCTGGCCCAGGACACCAGGTTGCATATTCCATCCTCTGGATGGTTTGGCAATGCCAGTAAAATAGGTGAAGCTGAATTTGAGCTAACAACTTCTTTCAGTGCCATTACAAAGAGGACTTTTCCATTTTTTTCCAGGCATTCTTGAACAATGTAATTGCTATCAGCCCTACCAAGGAAGCTGACGGTCACAGCTTACCTTGTGGAGACTGACATTAGCCTCCAGGATATTGTCCACAGTAGGCCTTGGCAGAGAGAGGTTGTGATTCAGGAATCCAGAGAAGGTTTCATTGTCCCCCAAGAAATCCTGAAGTTTCAAGCCTGCGGAGAAATAGTGTTTTGTTTTCATTTAGTAAGTAACTCCAAAAAGTATTGAAGTCAGTACAATGGGGCAGACTGAGAAAAACATCATAATATTGATTACTTCACTTTAAACCAATTGATAACCACAGGCTTCTGGCTTAAGCACAGAAAGAAATGAGGTTCAGGGAGCTGGGAGCTTCACCTTAGCAGGAGAGACATGAAAAGACTGCTTTTCCAAGACACGTGCTCCTAGACTCAAACACTGAGACAGCAACAGCGCTGCATGTACATGCACAGCCTTTCCTTGCTTTTTGAAGGAAAAAAAAGACTTTTTACATGTTCTTGCCCATCCCCCTGAGAACTGTGACATCAATACCACTGCTCCTGCCTCCCCAATGCCATCCCAGGTATCTAAAATCGGAGATACTTTAAGCCTAATTCCCACAAACTGCTGGGGCTGATTTCCTCTTGATGCAGAACAGTGGTTCTCAAACTTGAGTGGGCATCAGATCACTTGAAGGGCTTGTTAAGACAGATTGCTGGGTCCACCTCCAGACTTTCTGATACTAGTTTCTCCTTATCTGGGACCCACAGTTTGAGAAGCACTGGTACAGAGCATTATACATATCAAAGCATTTGCACACATGGTCTCACTTTAATACCAAATGTGTAAAAAATGATACGGAGCTCCAAAACCCAGGCCTGCCAAGCTTTAAGAAAACATGTCAACACACATTTAAAAATCAACCCTACTAAATGACTGGACTGCTGCTGGGTTTCATACAGAATCCCTTTAAATAATAAGCCTTTCAGGTACATTTAGAAAAGGTTCCAATCCAGTGTACTGAAGCAGAAAAAACACTAGACAGAAATCCAAAATTTTAATCCCTAAAGTTGGAGGCTGTGTCTGGCGGTGTCACTTGGGTATTTCCTAACATCTTTCTGAACCTCAGCCTCTTCATCTCCATAACAAGAGGTTTCTGACCAGGTAGAACCCCCTGACTCTAAACTGCTATCATTTTCTCTATTTCATTCCCTGTCCACTTCTTCTGCCCACCCTCTTAATGACCCAACTTCTTCTTTCAATAAGAAAGAAAACCAGAAATTCAGATGGCCAACATTGCTAGTCATCAGAGAGATGCAAATTAAAACCACAATGAGATATCACCTCACACCAGTAAGGATCGCCACCATCCAAAAGATTAACAACAACAAATGTTGGTGAGGTTGGAGAGAGGAGAACCCTCCTGCACTGCTGGTGGGAATGTAAACTAGTTCAACCATTGTGGAAAGCAGTATGGAGGTTCCTCACAAAACTAAAAATAGAAATACCATTTGACCCCAGAATCCCACTCCTTGGAATATACCCAAAGAATACAACTTCTCAGATTCAAAAAGACATATGCACCCCTATGTTTATCACAGCACTATTTACAATAGCCAAGAAATGGAAGCAACCTAAGTGTCTATCAGTAGATGAATGGATAAAGAAGATGTGGCACATATACACAATGGAATATTATTCAGCCATAAGAAGAAAACAAATCCTACCATTTGCAACAACATGGATGGAGCTAGAGGGTATTATGCTCAGTGAAATAAGCCAGGCGGAGAAAGACAAGTACCAAATGATTTCACTCATCTGTGGAATATAAGAACAAAGAAAAAAACCAAAGGAGCAAAACAGCAGCAGACTCACAGAACCCAAGAATGGACTAACAGTTACCAAAGGGAAAGTGACTGGGAAGGATGAGTGGGAAGGGAGGGATAAGGGGAGGGGCAAAAAAAAAGAGGGCAACATGATTAGCATGTATAGTGTGGTGGGGGGGCACGGGGAGGGCTCTACAACACAGAGAAGACAAGTAGTGATTCTACAGCATCTTACTACGCTGATGGACAGTGATTGTAATGGGGTATGTTGGGGAGGACTTGGTGATGGGGGGAGTCTAGTAAACATAATGTTCCTCATGTAATTGTAGATTAATGATACCAAAAAAAAAAGGCTTTAAAAAAAAAAAGAAAGAAAACCACCTCATCACGACCACATGACTTGGAAGTCTTCTTTGCAGACTGCAACCTACAGGCCCAGGCACTACCCAACCTCTAGGGGGCAAGCCTTGACAACCCAAATCATTGAACTGATGAGAATAGAGGTTTGGTTTTATTGTGGCTACTGTGTGGATGTGGGGCTTAAAAAGGACAAGAGTTAATTCTCAGAGCTAATGGGGTCATATGCAAAGATAAAGTAGAAGAAGGGCCCAAATGCCCAACCAGATTTGCATCAGCGCTGCCTGATTAAGGCAACTCTGCTTAAGCAAACTTTAATAATTCAGAATTATAGAAAGAAGAAACTAAGCATGATTCACATCTCTAGAGAAATTATTCTCTGACTACACCTTACTTGGCTAACTCCTAGATAATCCTCATGACACCTTCAAGAAACTGTTGCTTGCCCCTCATCAGAATAGGTGCTCCTGTAGATGGCCACCTACCTGGTGCTCCCCATCATGTATGACATCATACTTTTACCATAGTGCTCACTTCTGTAATTGTCAAACCTTAAGAGCAGCTAAGGTTCACTTATGGAGCATGCTAAAATGCAGTTTCTTGGGCCCAATTCCCAGAGATTCTGAACAGTGGATCTGGAGTGGGGCTTAAGAATCTGCATTTTAATAGTGCAGAGGATCTGGGAACTATACTTTTAGGGGTGGTGTTTTATTTGCATATTATCTCCAATAAACTATGCCTTTGGGACAGAGTATTTTATCTCTGAATCCCAGGGTCCGCCTCGGGGCCTGACAAAGAACTACTGTTCAGTGAATGAGGGCTGGATAACCAATAGTAAGAGATGGGATTAGGGCAGAAGATTCCAGAAGTATCTGAGCAGAACCACAGATCATCTTTCAGCTGAGCCGGTCCAAGAAGGGCCCAGAGATGTCAGAAGAATCCCTAGACTGCACCCCAGGAGTGAACAGGACTTCTAGTCATTAGTACTATATTCCCAGGGACACAAAGTGACACCCAAGGTGTGGCAGGACCGCTATCGTAGGGTTAAACAGGGAGGAAGGTGGGAAAGCTAGTAGCTTCAAGTGAAGCCTCACATGAAAAGCCAGACACTGACCACTAAGGAACAATGGAAAAAGTACCATACTTGAGGTCAGAAAACCTGGGTCTGTATCCATTCATTTGCCAGGTCATTTCATCCAGCTGTGTCTCCACTGCCTTACCTATGATGTGAAGGGTTTCAAAAAAAGACCTCTCTAAGTCCTGGACAAACAGAATATATACATGAAGTGATGCTCATTGACCTCCTGGGCCACAGATTCGTCCTGAGTGTGAAATGTCACAGCAGGACACCAACATCCTGCTACAGAACTTCAGAACAGCCTCGTCCCTCCAGAGGAGGGCTGTTGGAAGTGTGGAAGGTCAACTCAGGCTGCACTTGCAATGGGTCTAGGTCACGAGCAACACTCTGGAGACCAGCTTGTTTATAAGACTGTTTCATTATTTCAACAGGCTCTGAGGATGAGAACAGCTGGATGTGATCAAATTCCACCCGCCTATCAGTGTATCCTCTGAATGAGACATAAGAACCAAGAGGCTAATGAAATAGTCCACAAACCCAAGAGTGCACGTGCATGGGGTGGTGAGGTCGCTGGGTGGGGAAGCAACAGGAAGCACCAAAGATCCCTGGCTACAAAAAACTTGCAGTCTGATCACATGGATATCATCCTTGGCTCCTATTAGACTAAAATGGGGAGATTTACAAAATACCCATTGCTTGGGCCACACATCCTAACAGATAATCAGAACTTCTGGAGCTAACACCCGGCATCAGAATTTTATAAAATTCCCCAAGTGATTCTAGCCAAACTTGAGAAACAATGCTGTGGCAGAAAAATCAGGGGTGTGGGACCAGAAAAACCTAACTTTGATGCTGGACTGTGCCATCAGTATTTAACTGTGTGGCTTTGAGAAATTTATTTTGCCTTCTGGAGCCCAAGTTTTCTTCCTGAGAGGTAAGGATAACAATATTCACTTTTTCAAAGATAAGAGGATTAGAGATATTCATATGTAAAGCATGAGTATTGAGCAACTGGCTCACGGTAGGTGCTCAATAAGTAGTAATAATTTTCTGATGACTGAATACATTGTTTTCACTCAACTTTACCAATGTGCCACAATGAAGTACAGTGAAAAGGTAAGAGAGTTCCTGACTTCAAGAAACTTCCAAGGCTGATAAGGGAGATGAAGAGACAAATCAATAAAGCAAGAGGGATGAGAAAGCCAGAGGAAGGCAGTTTACGCAAGTGTTTGACCAAGAGAAGGCATACATGCAAGCGCTCTGGGGAGAAGAGTCAGAATGAAGCCATATTATGGAAAAGGACAGAGTCAAAAGTCTCTAGATCTAGAGGCTGTGGCATTTTAGGACAGGGTAAGGCAGGGACCAGGACACCCTGCAGTCATAGTGCCATGCACACATTAGGTTCTCAATAAATTTTTTTGAATGAATAAGTAAGTCCACAAGCAGATAAAGAGAGACGAGGTTCCTCAAAATCTAAGATTTGGGAAGCAGATTGGGGGAGGAACAGGAAGGAGTGTGATGTGAGGCCAAAGTGGGGCAGCAGCTTTGTATCTCTGGTCTCAGTTTTCTCCATTAAGTTGCTAGCAGGAAAATGAGTAGAGAAGCCAAGAATGCTAAGAAAGCCAGATGTCAGAAACAACCCTTTACTCCTCTTAGCCCAACTAACTCCACCTCTTTCTTTATGACTTGGCCCTTGAGTCATCTCCTCCAGGAAGCCTGCCCTCACTTTCCCACCATAGGGCTGGATAAGGTGTCCATCCTCTGTGCCCTAATAGCCTCCTATGCTTCCCTCAAGTAGCACACAGATTAACTTGCAGTTGCCTGAGCACAACGTTCCCACCAGAACACAAGTGCTTTGAGGGCCAGGACTTTGTAACTCCAAAGCACAGCAGTGCCTGGCACAGAGGAGACACTCCACAAATGGTGGAGGTAT